GGATTATAATGGGGAATATTACACTGTAATGTTCCCTATTATAATCTATTTCTCTGATTTAAATTATTACAGGTAGGCATGTGATCTATCAAAGTTTGAGACTACGTTAGAATGTGTGACCAGTGACGTGGTCACACATTTTAACGTAATCTCGCCCAGTTTTTCAGTGGTGGAATAGGTGAAGAATTCCAACGCTTTCATTTTTTGGTGTAACTGTATTTTATTTTGAAGGCATGTTTAAATACAATTAAATTAAAATGATTAAATCAAAACAATCTAAAATATAAACAATCAACGTCCCCCCCTCAGCGGGCCACGGTAAAATGATCAAACGTTGACCGGTCCGCGGCGATAAAAAGGTTGGGGAGCACTGCTCTAACACACCCGTGCAGGCACAGATGACAGATACTTAAGTGGTGAAAAGTGGAACAGTGCTGCACTGAGGTTCAGTATTCATAGGCAGACAGGGATTAAGTCTATTTACACACTGCTGGTCAGGAGTACAGGATACTGAGGTAATCAGAGGAGGGAGTCCATACATCAGGGTGATAGGAACACTGGTATACAACAGAATCAGTAACAGCACAGCTAGACAGGATACTCAGAAGAAGCAGGCTGCTAGAGACGAGCAGCCACACAAGAGCTGGATAGAGACTCACTGGTAATGCAGCGGTACAAAGAGCTCACTGATGATTGTGATAACAGTCCTCTTGCTGGTAGTGATGGGCTCGGGCGTGTTCGCAGCTCCACGTGCCGAGCCCGCCAGGAAGCTGACACCGCGCAGAGCCAATCGCAAGTAGAGATGTCCAGTTCATGAACGAATCGTTCTTTTGAATCGATTCTATTCACTGAACTGGTGGAGTCGATTCAGCTGAGTGAGCTGATCCGTTTGTAGCAGCTCCGTGTGACGTATAGCAGAGACTCTAGCTAGCTAGCTTGTAATATGACCCTAGAGTGAAAGCCAGGCTTCTGCCAGCCCACCCCTGCAACCAATCACATCTCTGACTCAGAGACAGTACACGGAGTCTAATCATATGAGTCGGCTGAGTCTAAGAATCGAAAGAATCGAATCAGTTTACTTAGTTAGTAGACTCATTTGATTCTTTAACTCGGTAAACTCTTTTAGATTCTTTGAGTTAACCCTTTTGCTGCCAAGGACGTACGGCATACGGAGCTACAAAAGTGCTTCCAGCTGGCCAGCTCAGTATGCCGTACGTCCTTGGCATTTACAGTTCTACTATAAGCTGATGGTTGCTTTAGCGACCATCAGCTTATGGTAGAACTGTTCAGCAGACTGTCCCCTTTAAATTAATAGCTGTCATCAGCGGCTCACACAAGCCGCTGATGACTGCTATTTTCAAAAATACTGCCCCCCCTCGCCGGCACCGCGGCCGCCGGCATCTGGAGTCTCTCATCCCTCCCTGGAGCCATCCCAGGGAGGGATGAGAGACTCCAGATGCCGGCGGCCGCGGTGCCGGCGGGGGGGGGCCCGGGAGGGGGCCGCACTTCAGAATGGCCGAGCGTCTTCTGATCTGAGCCGCTGTCATCCTGTCAGTTTTTGGATGACAGCGGCTCTATGTAGCGTGACCGAGCGGTTGATCGTTAAATATCCCTTTGTGCAGAGCAAACACCGGAGCGATCGTCTGATCACTCCGGTGTTTGTAAATAACAAAGAGGAGATCCTCATTCAGATTGATGGTTTAAACCTTTAGGATCAAATTGGCTTCTCAAGGAGATAGATATAGATGTATATATATGTGTGTGTTAAAGGTACAGACATCCCTTCTGAAACATCTGTCTCATTCAGTAGCTATATAATAAAATGAGAGAGCTGTCTTTTTCTAATAACATAAAACCTGGCTTGTCAGCCGACTCAGCCAGTGAACCGAAGATTAGATTCATGAATCGGTTCTTTTGAATGAACTGATCCAAATGAACCGATTCATTTGAAAGATCCGAACTTCCCATCTCTAATCACAAGTACTGAGACATGTTCCCGGTCCGCAGCTGCAGAGATCGGGAAATGTCTCAGTGCCTGTGATTGGCGCTGTCGGCTTCCTGGTGTGCTCGGCACGTGGAGTTGCGAACACGCCCGAGCCCATCACTTACTTGCTGGAAGTGCTAGATCTCACTAGGAGCATGGAGGAATCCGAAGGACACGTAGGAAACAGCTGGTCAGTAGTAGTTTGCAGGAATCCTCCGGAAACAAGTTCCAAGAGACACAAACGAGTCCAGCCGTAGTGTATAGACACTTTGCTCAAATGCAGAGCAATAGGTGCACTAGCCTTTGATCACAAAAGTTCATAGCAGATTGGCAGGAAGCCGAGCACCTCAGACATGGGGCAGAACCCAGCACCAGATTAATGCACAGGGAACTGTGACAGGAGTCCTGGTTCCCTGGTTTCTTAACCCATTTATGACCAAATCATTAAAATAGTATTACATTCTCGAACTTTTTTTCAATAATGAATTCAGGTCAAACAAATACACATTGCGCGCCAAAGTATTTGTTTACATTTTTGCCTAAGCACTTAGTCGTCATGTTTCTAAACAGCTGGCTCCAACTCTCTCCCTGAATCTCCGGTCTAGTACAAGATCACAAGGGATAGAGTGGTCTCCAGCAGAAGTACAACTACTAGCTGGGGAAGGGAAGAGGGAACAGGGGAGTTCCTTGCCTTGTTGTGCACACTGTGTGTAGAGACGCATACAGCTTACTAGCGCACACAAGGGTGGCTCCATAGGATGCTGCAAGGGAAAGAAGCCACTCTAATACAGGATATCAGGCCTGTGCTCGGGAGACCAGCTGATTCTGCAGTAAACTAAAACTTTTATACATCAAGGAGAATCATCCATTGTAAGTGATTTCATCCTCATTTGAATAAGCTTAAAAACCTTTTGACTTTAATATCACTTTAATACTTGGATCCTAGACAAAATTTTGTAGGCATCAATATAGGTCAGTTAACTCCATTACTAATTTGCATACCTGAATCATTTTTTGCTTAGTTTTTTTAATTACTTACAAAGCTTTTATTTGGTACACTATTTTACACTTGCTTATGTTTATTTTAAACTTCCAAAATGTTTTTAAAAATACACATTTAATATTTTACACATTACAGTTTTTAATAAAAATTGTAAAACGTTTTTTACATTTTTTTTTTACCCACTGCAATCCACAATTCGTGGCAAAGTGACAGCTACAGCCAGTAAGTTTGTAAACAAAACCTCATTTGATTGGCTGTTTTGGTGATTACTTAAATGGGAACCACCTTGATTGGTTTGCAATCGTTTGTGAGTGACCAGTGGCTGTCTGTGATGGTGCAGTCTGAGAAATATAAGCTAGGTTAGTTTTCTCCTACCTTGAGGCACTTTGCCTGATATTGTTAATTTACAGATATTGGTAGGGAAAGGGTTAAAGCTGAGCACGTACAGCCAACAGATGCTGTCACATCCAGTGCTTGTGCTGTCTGTTGCCATGCTTTTTAAGGAGATTCAGTCACCGATTTGTATTTGTAATAATCTGAATGTCCACTGTTCAATGTTATAATAATGCAGCCTTACTTGTAATCTCTCCTGGTCAGGCTAGAAGATTCAGAGGTCAACCACACATAACAAGCATCATGACCCATGCTATAACACATGATACCACACAGGGTAACACACTCTATATGTCCTTTTGCCGTGAAAAGTTAATGAAAGCACAATTCACATCTACAGTGCACTTCCATATTGATTTTGGTCTGTTGAGAGAGTGCACCCAGTAATAAAGTGTTACCTATCATTGGGTGATTTGTTTCTGGTATCCGAAATGTCTTTTCGGAACCATGAGATTCTTGGTTGCCTGGTATCTCGTTCTAGTTTCACCCATAGTTTGGATGCAGGTGGGTTGAATTACTAAAGGCGAATAGGCTGTTTACTTTGCAAGGGAATGTTCCCTTAGGTAAAGCTCTGCTGACTTCCATCCTTCAATCACATGGAAGCAATAAATACTGTTGCTTGTTTATTTTTTAGTATTGCCTGAGATTGGGTATTTTGAAGCGAATTTTCACCATATTCACTAAGCCAAGAGAACATTACAGTGAAAATTCCCTTACAAAGTGAACAGCCTATTTGCTTTTAATAAGTCAACCCCAGAGTGTCTGCACCAGTCGGTGATCCTGGCCAAATGAATTGCTCATTGATATGGGACAGGATCAGGGATTTTTTCCCAACCTTTTGATTTTGCTAAAACAGTTCTACTAATGCAGTTTTGTTTCTGGTCCAATAAAATTATTTAAAATTCACCACACAGAAAACATAGAAACAAAGTATTGGAATCTTAACTTGTAATGTAACACATAAAGCAAACAAATTGGGGTTCACTTATAAAAGTTAATTGGGCAGATGTCATTCACACGGCACTAGCATCCCTAGACGCTGCTGACCAGTACAGGAATTTTTATATGCGTCAGCACCATGCGAATGGCACCTGCCTCGTGACAGGCCAGACAAAACTTTTATAAATGTACCCCTTCGCCTTTTTTGTGCACTCATTAAGGACCCTTCGCCTTTTAAACTTTTTTTTTGTGCACTCATTAAGGAAGTGATCTCAACATATTTATTGTTTGTAAATCACTTTTGAATTTAACTTTTTTTTAAACTTATTTCTAAGTACTTCACATAGTATACATACAGTTTTGACGATCACAATTGAAAGTGTCTGAAAGAGTTCTTTGTGTTGCCCATAACAACCAATTAGCATCTCCCCCTTTTTATTTTGGGCAGAAATAGAAAATAAGTTTGGGACTCGAGCAACACAGTCAGTTTTTCTCGTAGATTCGGTCATATAAAATACCTAAACCTTTTAACTATGAAAACGATAAAGGGACATTAACAATGACATTTCATTCAATGTATGTCGTTTTTTATCAAATTCTCTGTATTAAAAACCTCAAATAAAAACTACAAGTCAAAACTTATTTATTTCTATTAATATATTTTAACTTTATTCACTATAGGAGCGTGAAAAGAGGAAACATGAGAGGATCCTGAGTGATGAATTGGTTGCAGCTGTTACTTATTTGAATCAGTTTATTCCACCTGAACAGAGCATTGTTTACATTCCATGGGATATGGCGAAGTATACCAAAAGGTATTTTTATATGGTTAATAAATTGCACTGAAAAGTAGAATGTTTGTTTACACTGACCCTGTCACCAACTTAAACAATGCAAGTAAAAGCACAGAAAAAGCAAGTATTATAAATGCTTTCTTGCAGCTTTATTTCTTTCCATCAATTATTTTTATTCACTTGCAATTGCCTTTGAACTTGCTAGAAAAGTTGACTACTCCAAGTAGAGTCAATTCCCTAGCACAGTCCCTTCTCCCTCCTTGTACATCACAGCCCTTCCTCTTCTGTGATTCTCTAACTTCTGTCTGTGATACCCCAGCTCCTCTGTTCCTTCCTATATAACTATTTATGTAGTTGCTATGTAGTATTATGCTTCATCATGTATATTAAAAGGCTAAATTAACTAAACCTGGGTGAACTCTGTAAAATTCTTGTATTTCTCATTGGTATTAACAATGAGATTTATATTCCCAAGTGAGACCCACTTTGTTCACAATGTAGTTTGATTCCTTTCACCATACTTGTTTCCCAGTAGCTAGCTGGAGCTACCAACCAAGAAAATTGTTGATCCAGTCAGTCTAAGTGGAGTGGAACAAAGGCTTAGTTTTATTCATTCATTTTCTGATGGAACATTTGTTAAGGACAATTTACGAACGCTAATCCATTAATTGATTGTACTAAATCTTTCCATTTAGATTGGAACATTGACTGCTTTGTATAAACTAGGGATGCACTGATTCAGATACCTACCCTGATACCGGAACTTCTGGTCAGAGGGAGGATTCCACCCATCGGCAGTGTCGTGAGGGAACGTGGAGCCGGCTTCCCGACCAATCAGGAAGCCGAGCGGTCAGTCATTACCCGCCGCTCGGCTTTGTGATTGACCAGGAAGCCGGCTCCATGCTGTGTGGCTGGAAAGCCAGCATCCTGGCCAATCGGCATGGAACTGGCCACACAGCATGGAGCAGCTTGCCGGCCAATCACGAACCGGGCAGCAGGTAATGACCCGTATGAATGAAGTTCTTGTTTCACTCCTTATTGGATATCCCAGTAGCAGGGGAGGGTGCTTGTAGTGACTGCAGATGGCGCCGCTGACCACATGAATTGTTTGGAAGAATGCCAACAGCATACCAAAAACCCTTTCAGGATCAACAAGTGTTAATTTATTAAGAACCATGTCAAACAAAGACAAGCGCTTTCAGGACCGCGCAGGTCCCTTCATCAGGCTTAACATTGACAAAGTTCAAACATCAATGTGAACTTAAATAGACATACGGATGTGGAACAACCCATTAGTCGACCCCTCCACACCCCTATGACATCCCAGACTGACAAAACCAGTTTGTATGCATGTGCCAGATTAAAAACATATATGTGGAATATTCATCTCATAATTATGTCCTTAACAATGAATGTCAGCGTCACTGCGTTAACAACATAAGTAAACATAAATTATTCATAAAAGATCGTATTGCCTCATGTATAAACAGTAACAGTTAAAGCCAGCTTTGTCACTTTGATGTGAAGAAGAGCAATTTTCAGAGTTATAAAAATAAACATATCATTCAATCAATTTCAGCAAACTGTGTAATGTTCTGGATCGACTGAATGTGATTGCTGAAAATGTTGTGAAGAAGACTGGTTTCTTCGTTAATCGCCCTGATTCATATTGTAGTATACTACGGCCTGATGAAAAGTAAGTAATATTCATTGTTTTTGTATTATTGATTTTGAAAATGTTGAATTGATATCTTGTGCTTGTTTTAGTAATTGATATTTTAGTTGTGACCAATGAACCTTGTACACATGTTTTGAGCACATTGTGTACTGCAGATAACTTTGTGTGCCTTGTGATTAATAGGCATGAGACCACAAGTATAGATCAGGCAATCTAGGACTAGCCTTCCTTGTGTTCTCAGTGCTTTAAGTACTTGTTTAATGTAGTGGAACCAATGGTTTTTCACAGCTGAAGGCCACTTTGCTAGAATTATTTTCTCTAGGACTATATAGAAGAAGGGTATAAAGAGAACTTGCTAGCAGACCTTTTCACTTATGTGAAACTACCTTATGTTTCAATACAGTAGAATGCTGTGTTGGCTGCTGGTCCAGTGAATTAACAAGTTATATTATAGTAAGTCTTAGGTGCCTCTTCAGTGAAACTGGCGACGTCTAAATTATTCCATTGGCCACTTAATATTCCCAGAACACATGTTAGGGCAGTGGTGGCTGGTAGGAATCCTTTACATAAAATATTTTTGCCTTTTCAGGTTACCTGGCTGTAGCTCAATTGCCAGTACACCAATGAATGAATTCATGCTCTATCTGTCCCCATTAGTTCTGCCACTAACATAAAATACTAGCAAGAATTTTTATTATTATATTTTTTTATTGTTAACTAGATGGCATGAGCTCGGAGGTGTGGTTGGATCATCTGGCCGTTTACAGGTACTGGCTGAAGATTTGAGTCTTGCATTTGCATGCCGTGTATGTGATTGTTAATGATGAGGCTGTGCTTGGTGCGAACCCAGTTCACCTGAGTTCACCTAAGCCTGCTCAAAATTCTGACCACCCCCTCCTTCCAACCCAATCGGTTGCGGGGAGGCGCATTCCTTGCCCCGAAGCTATACGTCACAAAGGGGCGGGGGAACACCCCTGCCACAACTGCCCTTACTAGTTGCATCAGGAGGAGGTGTAGGTGGTCAGAGAGGGCTTGCGCAAACTTAGGCGAACCGGGTTCACACCAAGCTCAGCCTCATCTCTAGTGATTATACCCTGAACTGAGAAGCTAACAAAATGGCCTACAAAACGTATATCGGAAAATCTGAAAGACCGTAATAGCTTGATAGTAGTTTGTTATTCTTTTTATAGCAATCATAGTATGGGGTGTACAGCCTGTTCTTACCCTCAAATACTATGTAACTATGTAATATAAAAACATTTTATGCGCTTGTTCATCACATCTTCTCTGCTGCAATATAGTTAATTGTACAGCATTTTGTTGTGTTTTATGGTTTCCAAGGATACCTTAGATGAATAGTTCACTGCTGGGACAGTTTTATGGCTACTCTATGCAAACGCTCATAAAAATGCATATAAACATGTTTTATTGTTTCTCACAGAAAAAAAGTCCAGTTGCACACTGCAAGCTATGCTGAAACGTTTATTATAGCACACAGGTAAACATCGTCCCACCGCGGATCCTCTTGACTCTCTATGACTAAGCCTATTATCAGATGAAACATGTTGGAATGAAAAGGATCCACAGTGGAAAGATGTGTACCTGTGTGCTACAATAAACTTTTCAGTGATGCTTGCAGTGTTTAACTGGACTTTCTTTCATTGAGTAACTTCTGATGCTGGAGCAAGAGGGGCTCGACCGGTGTGCACCGGCCTTTCTCTCTGGTGCTGCTGTGAAGGAGCGGTGATATTGGGCTATGGAAGTTAGTATGTTTTGTTGTTTGCTTTTACATGTTTCCACTTTCAAGCTGTAGGGAGTGCTCTTTTTGAAAAAACATGAGTGACATTATGGGTGACATGTGAACCATCCCACTGGTATTATGCCATCTGTGTCCCATTGTGGAGATTTCCCTTCATTTCCTCTCTGATAGCCACAACAGGAAGTGAGCAAAAATATCCCTCTAAAATGAGGAACCAGTGACCCTCTTTGGAAGATTTATCTATTCTTGCTCTGGGGACAAACCAAAATTTGGGATTATCTTTTACTTTCACTGGCAGTAATAACGGTCAAATAGACAAACGGATTATCTCCATAATGGGGACACAGACAGCAATCAAAACGGCAAGCAAAGCACTGTAATTAGAAATAAGCCTTTGCTGTTTACTACTGATTTCAAATATTTTGCAAGATTTCCACGTGGATACCTAACCATATGGCTTCAGGGCAAATGCAACTGAAATTTAGATTGTGAGAAAATTAACTTACCCAAAGCATTCCCCCACCACAGCCCTCCCCCAATTATTCATACAGCTTTGCTGTATGCAGAACCCCCCCTTCGCTAGTCAGTGTATGATCCTTACACTGTACACCGCAATGCAGCCCTGCACTGAGGATCCAGCTTAACAATCACAGATGGCGAGCCCTCATTGATCAGCATGGTCAGATGACCATGTTGACCAGTGAGAAGTGCTTCTGAGCAGAAGCACTTATCATTGGTCAGCAGGAGATACAGGCATGCCATGAATGGGCACGGTGTCCTGCAGTTGGCAGCATAAATCACAGGGCCGCAAACTGACCATGCTAAGCACAGATCTGCTTCTGTGCTTGACGTACTTTGTTTGAAAGAGGAGCCTAGGGGGAACTGGTATTTAGCAGCAATATAACAAATAATAACATGTCAGTGTACATTGTCAAATAACTATATCAATACACCAACACATGCATTTTTAACTTTTAGGTTAACATGCACCTTAACTTTATCAGGCACTACCTACCACTCACTGGCATAGCAGCCACAGTGGAAAAATTGTAACATAAAAATGTAGAGCACAGTCTCCAGTGGGGTGCTTATACTGTGCACTGTGTGACTTATTCGTCTTGTACCACTTATCCTATAATAAAGACTAATGCTCAACAGCATATGATCATATCAGTCTTGCAGGATAATTGTGTATCCCAGTACTGTAAAAAGCATGGAAGACTACTTTCTCTATTGTCCACTGAGGTACCCAGCTCTGAAGAATTTTGAGATGTAGGGTTATGCTGCTTCCTCCCGCATAAAAGGACACTAGGCAAAAAGATTAAGGTATTGCTATGGTGACCTATGTTTGTTATACTTTATGTACTTCAAAAGTTGGCCACATAGGGGAGCTCTCATCTTCAAAATAAGAGTATTCTGTTGTTATTTCTACGTCTGCGATTTCTAGTCTAGTAGTTTCAAAAAGTGTCCTCTTATCGATGGACAAAATGTTCACATTGAGTGTCATGGTGGTTGACATCCCCTGCTTTGACAATGGGAAAGTTGTTTCTTTCCAAAACTTGTAAGATTGTCACGACGGACGCCAGTCTTGTGGGATGGGGCAGTCTCTTGGATCATCTGTCTGTGCAGGGTTGTTGGTCTACGGAGGAATTCAAGCTTCCAATCTATGTCCTGGACGTGAGGGCGATTTTGTCTGGTGTTGTTTTACCAGACACTTCTTCTGTCTGGGTGTCTGATTCAGGTTCAGTCAGACAATGCTACAGCGATGGCATGCATCAATCACCAGGAGTGTGTTGGCGGCGACGAAAGTACATACGATCTTGGATTGGATGGGACTTCAGATTCCTGTAATTTCATTGATGCACATTCCAGGAGTAGAAATCAGACTGGCAGACTTTCTCAGCAGACAATGTCTGGATGCAGACGAGTGGTTTCTCCATCCAGAGGTGGTTCAACAACTTTGTCACCCCTGGGGAACACCAGATGTGAATTTTCTGGCTTCTCGTCATAACAAGAAGGTGTATAAATTTGTGTCCAGAGCGAGGGATCCAAAGGTGTGTGGTGGATGTCTTAATAGTTCCGTGGGATCAGTACACACTAATGTGTGTCTTTCCTCCACTGACTCTTGTCAACTCGTCTGCTTCACATGATAGAACACAAAGGAATTCCGGTCATTTTTGTAATCGCTTCCAATTGGTTTCACAGGGTGTGGTATGCCGATTTGGTTCATCCGTTGGCAGAGGACAATCCCTGGCTTCTTCCAGATCTGCCAGATCTGTTATGTCAGAGCCCAACCTTCCACACGTCTTCTCAGTCGCTGGCTTTAATGGCCTAGCTGTTGAATCCCAAGTGTTGAAAGACAAAGGAATTTTAGATTCGGTTATTCCAACTATGCTTAACGCTTGTAGGTTTTCTAGTCATGGTATTTGTCATTTTTCAACATCCTCTTGCTTCTAATTCCTTGATTAATACTTTCATTCAGGGCTTTCCACGTGTGTCTGCTCCTTTGTTGTTTTCTTTTCCTCCTTGGGTATCTGTCAGCCACAGCTGCCTTTAGGTGTCTGATTCTTTATTCATTCTACCTAAAGGTCCTAGACAAAGTTGTTTAGCTTCTAGATCCGCTATTTTTAAGTAGACTTGTCAGATTGTCTTTGAAGCGGGATAAGGTTCCTTCTTTTCCTGTTTCTGCTCATTCTACTAGGGCAGTTAGTACTTCTTGGCCATTTCAGAATCAGGCTTCTGTAACTCAAATTGCAAGACCGCAATTTCACACTTTTTTGCTAAGTTTTAAAAAGTTGATGTTTCTGCCTCTTCTGATGCCAGTTTTAGCAGAAAATTTCTTCAGGTGGCTGTTTGAGTATTTGAGCTGGTTCTAGTTTTATATGGTGCCCATCCCTCAGTTTTGAACTGCTTTTGAACGCCCTTACATCTTAGAATTTTTCAGCGCTGTGTCCCTCAATGGATAATAGAGAAAATAGTATTTTGTGTTTACCGTAAAAACTCCTCCTTTTCTTGGAGTCCACAGCTCCTTCCCCTCATTTCCTTTCATACTGCTTGATACAGCTGGCAGGTGAGGTGGTAGGGGTTATGTCCTTAAAGTGCAGGCTTTTTTTTGCCTAGTGTCCATTTCTTGTTGAGGCAGCAGCATAACCATACATCTCAGAATCCTTCAAAGCTGTGTCCTTCAATGAACTCAGAGAAAAGGATTTTACGGTAAGAACAAAGTACTATTTTTTTCCAGTAGTCCAGAGCCATTCGTAACAGTCACATATGTCTGTAGAAGGTAGGCAGTTGCTGATGAAAAAGACTAAAGAAAAAAAAATAGTTTAAAATTATTAGATATTAAATGTTGCAATAGGGATGTTGGTTCCTGTAAAGTAAGTAGTTTAAAGCAGAACCCCAGGAACATATAGAAAATTCTTTGATGTATTGTGTGATATTAAAGAACAACTGCTTATAATCACCTGCACTCCAGAAATCAGATGGACAGTGGAAGGGGTAGCACTATGTAATGTACACGCTTTGTTGCAATATTCAGTGGTATGCTAACATGTTTCAGGCAATAAGAGCTTGAGGGGCAGGACATATTTCAGGCAATAAGAGCTTGAGGGGTAGGTGTTGATTTAGTAATACATGACCTCACAAGTGGGACAATGACTGAGACCATGAGTAGACTGGATTGCTGGCGTTTACTTCTGTTTATTTTACACCATGGTTGGAGATCTTTATAAATAATAATTGTTCCTCTTTTCTTCCATAGACAGGTGTTCTACGAACAAACTGTGTTGACTGCTTAGACCGAACTAATACTGCACAATTTATGGTGGGAAAGTGTGCTTTGGCATATCAGCTGTACTCTTTAGGGCTGATCGATAAACCTAATTTGCAGTTTGACACAGATGCAGTTAGGTATGACACCATTTATTTGATATTTTTAGCATATACAGTGACTTCTTATAAAAGATATTTGTTCAATAAGTAGGAGTTTAAAGCTGTACTCCTTTCTTACCCTCAGTCCTGCACAGTTGTACAGCCTCCACTCCCGTACTGAAATTGCTTACTCTGATTTCCTGCACTCTGTGAGCTTAAAGTGTAAATCAGAAGCTGCAGCTGTTTCCATAATCCTTTCTTCCCTGGCCTATTCCAACCCCTTGTCCTGCTGCAAGTTACCCTTGCCCCCTCACTTCCCATGCCTCTGCTCCCTCCCTGTTTTCCTCTACTGCTCTTCTACCCCTTTACCCTTCCCCTTAATCTGATTTCACTCCCTTCCCATCTAGGTTCCTTCTTTCCCTTCCCTACTCATTCACATATCTTTCTCATCCCACCCTCCCCAACACTACTTTAAAACAGGTTCCTGAGAGACAGTCAATATTATGGGTCTGTTGCTGGGGGTTCCTCAATAGGGATCATTTTAATTTGTCAGGCATTTTAAGGTTGTCTTCTGGGAAAAAAATATTCCCTCTGCAACTGTGTCTTTCATGCTCCATTCACACCTACTGTATATTTTAGGTGTGATTTAGGGATTCCTGCATCAGGAACTTACTATTTTCTGGAGCAGCAACTCCTAATCTGCTGTTTATAAGCTGTGTTGGTGTTTGTCCGATTCTCAAAGATATTGAAATACATTAACACACTTTCAGCACTTCTTAGCCCCAGTGAAGTTTTTTTTAAAGTTATACCAGGGTCGTAACAGATATTAACCATGGCCCCCACATTTTTTAAAACTTATTTTGGCATGCCCAGCTAATATAAAGTTGTTTGTAGTTAGGTAAAAAGTATGTGTTGAGATTAACAAAGTTTTTTTTACATCCAGAGTGGTCGCATCCTTCCACTTTAGTAAAATTCTCTTTTCTTTCTGGCATAAAAGAGCAGTAGCCATATTAGATGTTTGAGATGTTTACCCATTATATAACTTGGTAATATAGCAAGGAGGTAGAAATCTGGGAGATGAGGCAGATCCAAAAGTCTACAGTCTGTGTCAGTAGCTGGTGTATTTAGTGCCATTAAGGTAATATTTGGGAGGGGGTCAGTCAGATCCAAAAGTCTACAGTCTGTCAAGAGCATGATAATAACAAGATTTATAAAGACAGACTTTTTAGGCACAAACACGACCATGTATAAATAAAAACTATTTTATTTAGTAACCACATCATAAAATATAAATAACACAACTCGATAAAAACATCCCTTCTCTCAATTAATTCTTTGCCCATATGAACATACCACCTCCAACTCACTCAT